AAGTATATACCAACAAATCAGATAACCTACAAGAAAAGAATGAATTCCTAGTCCCATACTACCTATTCAGCCTCAATCATAAAGAAATAGACTAATAATAAGTAAGGAGATTAAATGAGTAATAATAAAAAGTCTCCAATCAAAGAATGCCTAGGTCCTGATGATTTCACTGATGAACTCTGCTAAATATTTAAAGAAGTAATAACCATCCTTCTCTAACCCTTCCAAAAAAACCAAGGAAGAGGGAACACTTCTAAACTTATTTTATGAGGCAAGCATTATCCTAATACCAAAGCAGAGAAAGGCATTACAAGGAAAGAAAAATCACAGGCCAACATCCCTGATGAACATGTATGCAAAACTCTGCATTAAATAGCACTTTAAAGGGATCATTCACCATGACTGTGTGGGATTTATCCCAGGGATACAAAGATAATCCAAAATTCAAAAAGCTGTAAAAGTGAAAAACAACAGAATGAAAGACAAAAACCATATGATCTTCTCAATAGGCAAAGAAAAAACATCTGATAAAATTCAACATCCTTTCATGATAAAAAACATTCAACAAAACCATAAATGCTATATATAACAAACCCACAACTAATATCATACATAATGGTGAAAAGTTGAAAGCTTTTCCTATAATATCAGGAACAAAATAAAGATTCCCACTCTTGCCAATTCTATTCAATACAGTACTGTAAGTCATATCTACAGCAATTAGGTAAGAGGGGAAAAAAAAAAAAAAGGAACCAATCTGAAAAGAAAGAAGTTAAATTGTCCCTGTATGCAGATGATATCTCATACACAGAAAATTGCCGCAGTCTGGCTGGGCACAAATCACGAGCCACTCAAGCAGGAACAAACTTTATTTCCCAACTCCCACGAACGCCACGCATGTGGCCTTCTCCCAGGACACATCACACATCAACCGGAACTCCCACCACTGGAACTTCACCAACCACTGCGAACTCTTCAGGAATTCCCGCAAGAGCTCAACTGGAACTCAACGGGAACTCCCAGAGAATTCAAAAGTCATCATCTTAATGGCTCGCGTCACCTCTCACCCACTACTTCTGGCAAAAATGCCATCCCTCATCCCAACTCGGCTGTGGCCTCAAAAGAAAATTCAAAATGCCCCAACAAAAATGAGTTAAAATAAATGAATTCAGTAAACCTGCAGGATACAAAAATCAGTAGTATTTCTAATCAGTAACAAGAAACATGCTGAAAAGAAATCAATAGCAATAACAAAAAATTAAAATACTCAGGAATAAATTTAAACAGATTATGTGTACACTCTACAAGCAAAACTATACAATATTGATGAAAGAAATTCAGGAAGACACATATCGATGGAAAGATATTCCATGTTCTTGGATTGAAATAATTAATACTGTTAAAATGCCGTACTACCAAAGGCAATCTATAGATTCAAGGTAATTCTTATCAAAATCCCAAAGACACTATTCACAGAAATGGAACAATCCTAAAATTCATATTAAACCACAAAAGAATCAAAATAGCTAAAGCAGTTCTTAGCAAAAAGAAAAAAGATGAAGGCATCATATTATCTGATATCAAAATATACTACAAAACTCTACTAATTGAAATAGCATAATACTGGAATAAAAAACAGACACAGATCAATGAAATAGAATAAAGAAAGAGCCTAGAAGTAAACCTATTCACTTGTGGGCAATTGATCTTCAACAAAGATGCCATGGAATATACAAGAGGGAAAGGACAGTCCCTTTAATAAATGGTGCTGGAAAACCTAGATATCTACATGTGGAAGAACTAAACTATACTACCCTATCTCTCATAGATTATAAAAATCAACTCAACTTAAAAGATATGAAACTAAGGGAAGAAAGCTTCTTGACACTGGTCTGGGCCATGACTTTTTTTCCCCCCTGGTCTGGCAATTGAACCCAAGAGCTCTTTATCACTGACCTACATCCCCAGCAATTTTTAGTTTTTATTTTAAAACAGGGTCTTGCTAAATTGCAGAAATTGACCTCAAACTTGAGATCCTATTGCCTCAGCCTTCTAAGTCACTGGCATTATACGTATGTACCGCCAAGAAAAGATGTGTAATGTTTTTTTGATTAGGACCCCAAAATCATAGAAAATGAAAACAAGAAGTGGACAAATGGGATTATATCAAACTAAAAGCACTCTGCATAGCGAAGGAAACAATTAGCATAGTGAAGAGACACGGACATGAAATACTTATAAAAACATATACCTGATTATGGGTTAACATAAAACAATAAAGAACTAAAACAATTCAAGAGATACGAACATGAAATATTTATAAAAACATATACCTGATTATGGGTTAATATAAAACAATAAAGAGCAAAAACAATTCACGAGCCTAAAAATAGGCTCACATTTCTCAAAAGAAGATAAATGATTAATGGGCATATCAAAATAAATGTTCAACATCATTAATTATCAGGGAAATCTAAGTCAAAATCACAAAATGAGGTATCACCTCATAGCTATTAGAATGGTTATTATAGAAAAGATGAAAGATAAGTCCTGGCAAAGATGTGGACAAAAAGGAATCCTTGCACACTGTCAGGGGAAATGTATATAAGTACATTAAAGAAAACAATATACAGGTTTCTCAAAATATTCAAAATAGAATTACCATATGATCTAGTAATCCCATGGGATGGATGGATGGATGGATGGATGGATATATATATATATATATATATACACACACACACACACACACACATATACATGTATGTATACATATATATGTATACATATATGAATATATATATATACAAAAGGAAATAAAATTAGTATATTGAAGAGATATCTGTACTGCTTGTTCACTGCAGCTCTATTCACAACAGCCAAGTTATAGAACAACCTAAGTGCCCACAGCCTAAAGAATAGATAAAGAAAATACATATTACTATACAATAGAATACTATTCAACCTAAAAGACAAGGAAATGCTAACATTTGTGACAACATGGATAAGCCTGGTACACATTATATAAAACGAAGTAAGCCAAGAAAGACAAACATAGCATGATTTGACTTAAATCTGGAATCTAAAAAAGTTAAACTTATAGAAGTAAAAGTAGAATTGTGGTACCCAGGAATTAGAAGAAGTGGGAGTGGGTTAGGGAGGTTTGGGACAAAAAAGAATATAAAATTTCAGTAAGATAGGAGGAGTAAGTTCAAGAGATCTATCGTGCAATGTGGTTAACATATTAACAATATATAGTATTCTTGAAGATTGCTAAAAAAAAAAAAAGTGGATTTTAACTATTCTCACCACAAAAAATGGTTGGTAGTAATATAAAGCAGATTAGTCCTGATTTAATCATTCCACAAAATATACATATTAAATAATATTAAACATAATAATCTATAATTTTCATTTGTCAATTTAAAAACTTAATTTTTTAAAAATGATAGATACCTTAAAGAAAGACTAAACAACAACAAAAATACATGTGGACAATGTCCTTACCTATTCTCATTTATCAGCACATAAGCAAATTTCATAAGTGAACAATATTGCATTTAATGAAAAACAAACAAGTCCATGCAGTTTTCATTAAGCATTTTATCACTAACTCAGATAAAAAATATAAATGTGGATACATGGTCTTAATTTAAGCAATAAGTCAAATAAGACTCTAAGTCACAAATTAACTGAATATTTTTCTAATTGCTTACCCACACTCAGAACCATTAAGATTTTAATGATAATTTGAGCTCAAAGATTTTCTGACAAAAATACTAAGCGCCCGAACTTCACCAATATACAGTTCAAAGTCACTGAAAATCTCTCTGAAATGTCAACATTGGAGAACTAATAAAATTCAGGTCATAAAAACTCTGTCCTAATAGCTTCAAAAAGATATACATATGCTAAATGGTGGTAAATTAAAACAAGGGAACATACTCAGGAGTAAAAAAGAATGAAGTACTGTTACATGCAATGATATAAGTAAATATGAAAAAAGGCTGAGTGAAAGAAACTATAAAAACTGGACAGGCACAATGGCACACACCTGCCTGGGAGGCAGAGGCAGAAGAATCACAAGTTCAAGGCTAGCCTTGACAACTTAACTTAGCAAGAGTCTGTCTCAAAATAAAAAATTTTAAAAAAAATTAAAAAGGGCTGGCAACGTAGTTCAGTGGTAGGGCACTCTGGGTTTAATTACTAGTACCATGAAAAAAAGGAAAAAAAAAAAGCTCTATCCTGTATGATTCCATTTATATGAGATTCTAAGAAAGGAAACACTGATCAATAAAAACAAACCAATAAATAAATGGAATCATAACAAGAGTTCCCTCTGAGGGTAGAGATGGAGACTAATTAGAAAGGGACATGAGAGAATTTTCCAGCATGCCAGAAATGTTCTGTATCTTAAAGGAGTTGGGTTTACAAAGATATATGCATGTAGTTTTAATCTATATAAGATTTGTACAAAACTGCACATAAATTTTACCTTAAAAATTAATATTTAGGGGGCTTGGGTTATGGCTCAGCAGTAGTGCTTGCTTAGCATGTGCAAGGCCCTGGGTTTGATCCTCAGTACCATATAAAAATAAATAAAATAAAGGTCTTAAAAAAATGAATATTAAGAAAATTTTTGAAAACCAGACAAATATATCATGCTGAAGCACTTAGAGTGAAATATACAAATACCTGCAATTTATTTTTAAATGACTAATAAACTAGATGGACAGATTTTAATAAAGCAAACACAGCAAAACATTAACAACTTAAGAATCTAGGAGGTGAGTATACCAGGATTCACCATTCAATTCTTTTAGCTTTTCTGTATGTCTGAAAATTTTCATAATAAAAAAGACAATAATCAAAATTGTTCTCTTTAATATTACTGATTTTCCTTTTATATGATAACATTTAAATCTGATGTCAACTATGACTATCTTCTAGCAAATAAGAATTAAAAGATGACATAATTTGAAAAATTTTTAAAGACATACCCGAATTTCTTGAAGATTGTGAAAATTATTTCCTACTCTGACTGAGATTTTGCTTGGAGTGTAGCTTTCATCAGATTTGTAGTCTGCATATATACATAATGTCTTCACTGTTGTTTTTCTTCTAAGAGCAATAAAGTAAAAATAACATGCATTTTATCACGTACAAAGATTATTTCCAAAGCATCTTCTCTTCTGATGTTAAAAGAATCATAGTTTGGTAAAATGAGTATATGAATCAATAATTTCCATTTCTTTTAATTTTGAAGATAATGAAAATAAAGAAAGTGTAAAAACATAGGTATAGATATAACACTTTACTTACATAGACATCTCTTATATAGACCATGGTCAAGAAAGTCAACATAGCAGAAACAGACGAAATCAGGTCTCTTAGTGAGCAAACAAACATTAAGAATTTCCATCCTCTTCATTTATATGTTCAAAAAGGTAAGTGTTCTAAACAAGCTTAGTTTTCTTTATTGGTTAATTACTTAATTTCCTACATTAATTCTTGAAAGTAACAAACTAAGTGACAAGCTGAGTCCAGCAAAGAGAAAAACATTTTTTTAAAGACAGAAGGCTAATTTTATTACTTAATACAAGAATTAAAATTCTACTCATTTTTAAAATATACATCTTCTAGGGAATAAAATTTTAAAAATTTTTAAAATATACAATAAAAAATTAACCTTGGAAAAAAATGCACCAGGCCAAAATACATGAAAAGATGTTCAATTTCTAAAAGTCAAAGAAAGATAAAACACACAGATATTAGTTTTATTATCATATTGAAAAATACTTAATGTCTAATAAAAACCAAATTAGATTAGAATAAGGTGGTTTCATAGCCAGTCAGTAGGTACATAAAGTTTGACCCACTAACTTAATGAACCTCAAAGAATGCATTAAAAACAATAACATGATTATTTACAAAAAGAAAAATATTAGCATGTGATTAGATTATTACAAAATTGTAAACATAAATATCAAGTGTATTAGGGAATTGATTAAATTAAGATATATCCATTCAAGGATATACTATACAATTATGGATGGTACCTGCTTATAAAAGTTCTACCTGTGATTTTTTTTTTTTTTACAATGGTTATGAAAGCAATAAGCACTGTATAGAAACTGCACTTCAAGCTGTGAATTTGGATCTCACCCCCAATCAGCAATATGCAGTATGGTGCTTTCTTCCAATGCTTGGCAGTCATGCCCAAGAACAACAGGGTAAACAGTTGTACTCTATGCTATACTATGTTGCTAATAAGCTATTAAATGCATTTTCAACTTAATATTTTCAACTTGCTATGGGCTTATTGGGACATAATTCCACAGTAAGTCAGGGAGCATATGTATTTAAAATAAGCATGCAGGCGTATAGTTACAAGAAAGGGTAGGGGGACCAGATTATAAAACAGGAAATACAGATGGATTGCATTTTGGAGGAAAAAAAAATTTAAAACATATAAATATATTTTCTATATGTAGAAAGAAGTCAAGATGGAAGTATACAAAAATAGTAAAAGTGGCTACCTTCATAAAGTATGGAAAAAACTATGAGACCTTTATTTTCTTCATCATGATTTTTATATTTTTTTGGATAATTTTTCAGAAGGGGCATGTGTCATTTGATCATGAGGGGAAAAAAATTAGATAATTATAAAAAATGACCCAAAAACCCATTAAGAATGTTTTCTGAAATGTGCTTTAAAAGTTAAGTTCTAGTAAAACTGGTACTAATAACAATAAGATCCTCGAACAGAAATAGTCTGTCAAACATCAGCCTGTACAGACAGCAGAGGATCTGCAGCTCTTCTTAGGGGGACCAAATTTATGTAGCCTAACCGATTCATCAGAAAGGAATGGGAAAGTTAATGATTTTTCCTCAGTTCAAGATGTAAAACACTAAATACCCTGGAACTGCTGACAGTACAAATCCATTACTAAGTTCTCAAAAGAGGCCAGAGGCATCAAATTGACATTTTTCTCTTTTTGTTGGGCCAGCAAAGAGACAAAAGAGGAAGCAAAGGAATAAGGGGAAATTTTGAAGGTCATAATAAAGACCTTCTTCATGAGTCATAAGCAGGAAGTAAAAGGTCTTTTCTACCATAAAAAGAGCGAAGAACACAAGGATTGCACTGACCTGAACAACAAAAAACAAAAGCAGAATTAAAGGATCAGACTTTTTGCTCAGAATAATTTTATTTCTAAATTATAAAATTCAGGATAAGTTAGTAACTAAAACCTACAAGATAACTGGAAAGAAATTAGAAAGGCAAAGAGTAGTAACACTAATGATAATCAAAACAACAGCAATGAATAGCAAATGAACACGTGTCTGGCCCAGAAGTAACGCTTCAAATATACAGGAACTATTATTATGTCTTTCTTTCTGATTTTAAAATGTAACATTGAGTTTAATACCAGCCTTAAAGAAAGCAAGCTAATAGACAAGCAGAGTCAGAACTCAAGGGTATGCTGGTTTGCCTGACAGGTTCTCAGCCACTCCTACTGCCTTTAAGCAGGAGTATCTATTGGCTTATTCAATAGCCATTGATACCAGTTTACAGAGACATGCAGGTATCTGAAGTTGTTTAAATTTCACCCAAATCAGGGCTTTTGCTGCTAAGGTTCTTAGATCCCCAGAAATCATATGTATAATTTTTGCTACATACATGTGTTTCATTAGATTTATAAAGGAAACTATGATCTTAAAAAAGTTGAAAATGCTTTACTCTAAAAGATATAGTGAAATCCTTTAAAACTATTTATCAATCTTATCTCTTGATGAATCAAAAACTATATTGTATAGAAAAATTATGGTGTTTCTCAAATAGCAAGGCAGGCCATATTACCAAAGCATTTTATATTAAACACAATTCCTATTAAAATCCCAATGACATTCTTCATAGAAATAGAAAAGGCAATCATGAAATTCATTTGGAAAAATAAGATACCCAAAACAGTCAAAGCAATCCTTAGCAAGAAAAATGAAGCAGGCCCATCACAATACCAGACTTTAAATTATACTACAGAGCCATAGCAACAAAAACAGCATGGTATTGGTATCAAAACAGATACACAGATCAATGGTACAGAATAGAAGACACAGTGACAAACCCACATAAATACAGTTATCTCATACTAGACAAAGGTGCAAAAAAAAACATACTTTGGAGAAAAGATAGCCACTTCAACAAAATGGTGCTGGGAAAATTGGAAATCCACATGTAGGAAAATGAAATTAAACCCCTATCTCTCAACCTGCACAAAAATCAACTCAAATGGATCAAAAACTTAGGCACTAGAACAGAGACCCTATGCCTAATAGAAGAAAAAGTAAGCCTCAATCTCCACCACGTTCACTTGGGAACTGACTTCTTTAACAAGACTCCTGGGCTGGGGTTGTGGCTCAGTGGTCAAACACTTGCCTAGCATGCATGAGGCACTGGGTTCGATCCTCAGCACCACATAAATGTTAAGATATTGTGTCCACCTAAAACTAAAAAATAAATATTAAAAAAAGGAAATTAAACACACACACACACACACACACACACACACACACACGACTCCTAAAGGGCACAAAGTGAAATTGAGAATCAACAAATGGGATGAAATAAAACTAAAAAGCTCTTCACAGCAAAGGAAACAATCAAGAACACCAAGAGCCTTTAGAATGGGAAAAAATCTTTACCACATGCACCTCAGAGCATTAATCTTCAGGATATATAAAGAACTCAAAATAACACCAAAAAAAGCCAAATAACTTAATCCATAATTGGGCAAAGGAAATGAACAAATACTTCACAGAAGAAATACAATTAGTCAACAAACATATGAAAAAAATGTTCAACATCTCTAGCAATTAGAGAAATGCAAATCAAAACTACAGTGAGCAGTATATCCAGTCGGGAGGGCAATTATCAAGAATACAAGCAACAACAAATGTTGGCAAGGATGTGGAGAAAAAGATACACTCATACATGGCTGGTGGGACTGCAAGTTGGTGCAACTACTGTGGAAAGCAGTATGGAGATTCCTCAGAAAACCTGGAATGGAACCACCATTTGACCCAGTCATCCCACTCCTAGGTTTATACCCAAAGGACTTAAAATCAGAATATTATAGTGACACAGCCACATCAATGTTTATAGCAGCTCAGTTCACAATAGCTAAACTATGGAACCAGCCTAGGTGCCTTCAACAGATGAATGCATAATGAAACTGTGGTATATACACACAATAAAATATTACTCAGCCTTAAAGAAGAATGAAATTATGGCATTTGCTGATAAATGGATATAAATGGAGACTATCATGCTAAGTGAAACAAGCCAATCCCAAAGAACCACAGGCCGAATGTTCTCTGATATGTGGATGATAATTCACAATAAGGGGTCAGGGGAAGAATAGAAGTATTTGGGACTATACAGAGGTGAGTGAAGGGAGGGAAGGGAGTACGGAGGTAAGAATGATAGTAGAATGAATCAGACATTATCACCCCTATGTGCATATATGATTACATGACCTATGTAACTCTACATCATGTACAACCAGATGAATGAGAAGTTGTATGATTTGTCAGAATGCATTCTACTGTCTTGTATAACTAATTAGAAAAAATTTTAAAAACAGCAATGCATTTGGGAAGATCGAACACATGAGAAAGTGGTAGCTACTCAAATTGCTCAAATCACTTTTATAATAATAATCATCATAATAAACTAAATGCCTATCATATGCCAGACATCTTGCTAAACAACTAGGATGTTGTATAAGAGGAGAAGGGAGAGGTAATACTTTCCCATTTCTGATGCCATAAGAACACTCCTGGCCTCCTCTATTCCCTCACCCACTACACCCTTTCTCCTGAGAAAGAGCTACTGGCAGCAAGCAAACATCTGCCTTGTTCCTCAGGCCAGCTATTCAATAAGAGAAGGTACTACTTGGTCTCTCAGTTTTATAACTAGATGGGTAAGTTTTTTTTTTTTTTTTAATACTAGGGTTCAGTATTAGGATACTGCAGATACAAAGCAGTTATGACATTTCTTGGCATCAACTTTGGCAGTTTTATAAAGGTATTATTTTGGCTTCCACCTGCTGACTCTTGAA